CAGGGTTATCAAACATAATTTAAGTCTGGTCCCAGGCAGCCCCACCAAGGACTGTTCCAGACTCAAGGAAACTGTTGTGAGGGGGAATGGGGAGGAATTGTGGTGACTTAGGGGCTTTACCTGATTGCTCACAGGGCCCTAGTCAACTCTAGCTCCAGAACCATGGGCCTTTTGCCTGCCAGACACCTCTGCCTGGGACTCCAGCAGAAGTAAACAGAGCACCTTGCCCCTTAACCTACCCTCCTTGATCAACATCCTGTATGGAAAGAGGGAGGCACCTGGCACCACCCCCTGGCATCAGAAGGCCTGCCCTCATCCCTCCACTCCTCACACCACAGAGTCACGACCTGCTAAAACCTTTCCTCTGCTCCTCCATCACTTTCCACTCCTGGACCAGGCAGCAGCCTCCAAACTGGCCTCCCGGCCTTCCTCCTGTTAATCCATTTTCCCACAGTAGCCTGTGGTATTTACAAATGCAGTCCAATTAACATTTCATGTTAATAGAGTGAAGGGCACCAGTCCCTACGCCAAGCCTGTACTTCACGTCCACTGCTTCTTGTCATGCCCCTGCATATGGACTCCAGTGGCCCCCTGTCTTCAGTTTACCCCACTGTGTTCCTGGCTGACCACAGGGTGGTCCTCTATAGTCCCTTCTCTCCCCATGCCTTACCGCCACACACAGAATGAGCTGCTCCCACTCTGCCACCAGCTACACATGGCTCTCTGTGCTTCTTGCCTTTGCACCTGCAGTTTTCTTGGCCCTGTGCACACTTCCCCTCCCCAAATGACCGACTCCTAGCCATCCTTGAAGACTCAGCTCAGGTATCACCTCCTCCAGAACCCCTTCCTGACTTCCTCCAACACACAGCCCCTTCTTCTTTTTTTGTTTATTTGTTAATCCTTATCTGAGGATATTTTTTCCATTGATGTTCAGAGAGGGGAAAAGAGAGAGAGATCAATGTGAGAGAGGCACATCGATTACTTTCCTCCTTCCACACTGGACCAGGCCACAGATCGAACCTGCAACCCAGGTACACGCCCATGACCAGGAGTCAAACCCAAGACCCTTCATGGACATGCCGAGCTCTAATCACTGAACAACACCAGCCAGGGCACACAGCCCCTTAGTTTCCTGGTCAGTTTCTTCCAGAAGAATGCTCCTGCCTGGAGGATACACCAAGCCTGGCACAGTGCGGGCTCAATAACCCCTTGTAGCCACCAGTATAAATGAATGAATCACAGAGCCAATAGTGTAAGCAGGAGTCCAGAGCGAGCGTGGGGGCAGTTGATTAAGACAGTGCGTAAGCCATTCATTCTCTCATTCATCTCGAAATCCCCCATCCGCCACACTCACTCAAGTCCAGGCGCTCAGGGCCCCTGGCGCTGCTGGGCCCAGGGGGCGGGAAACGGGAAGGGGCGGTGCTGGGCGGCTTCTCCGGAACCTAGAGACAGAGCCTCGCCAAAGGGCGTGCTGGGTTCCTGGGTCTAGAGACCCCAGTTCCCCCGCCCCCCCTGCCCTCACGTTACCCACAGTGATCTAAGTCTCCACAAGGTCGAGCCCTGGCGCAACCGGGTCCTGCAATCCCGCACGGGCCACGCTAAGCCAACCCTCGGCGCAAGCGATCCTGGGGCCGGCGACCTCTGCTTCCCGCATGGTAGCTTTGGGGTAGTCTCGGCGCCTGGCCTCCCGCCCTTTCCCCCATCCCGACCGCCAGCAGAGGCCTCCCGGGGACATGAGGCTGCTGCCCGCCCCACACCGGTGCCCAGCGTACCCACCGGCTCGGTTCTTTTGGCGCGCGGGCGGGGGCCAAGCTGGGCGGTGTGACCGGCTCCAGAGTCCGCGGTCCCAGCACGTTCTCCCCGCCCAGGGCCCGCGCGGGGCCGGGCCGCTGCCTGTCGTCATCCCGGGCAGGGCCCAAACCTCAGCGCGGGCGCGCGCACGCACCCTCCTGCCCTGCCCCGCCCGGGGCTGGCCCTCCCTGGCTCTGACCCTCGTCCGTGTCCGCTGAGACTTGGTTCCGCACATTCCACAGCCAGCTCCCAGAACGAGGCCGGCGCAGTCATTTACACAGACACACACCCCTCTCTTCCAGGAGTGTCGCAGTCATACACACACCCTCCGCCAGCGAAGACCCGGCCCTTTCAGCTGCATTGCTAGGTGGGTGGGTGCCTCTGATGGAGTGCTGCTCCCTCACAATCCCAGGGCCCCTTTGCATTCCCGGAGCAAACCCAACCCTCCTCTGCCTGCTGGACTAGGTCGGTTCTTCCGATTGCCTCTCTCCCTTCACCCTCCGTTCAGCCCAAGCTACTGCTCTGAGCTGGCCAGCCCCAGCCGCATTTCTTTGGGCCCACCGGCAAAGGGGAGGCATTAACTGAGCCTGTACTATGCGCCTGGAGCTTCATATGCACTAGTCCTTTGACCTCAGAGCAGCCCTGTCACCTATGTGTTGTTATGCCCAGCCCACTGAGGATCAGGGAGCAGGAGGAGAAGGGATTCCAACCCAGATCCCCACTTTGAAAAACCCTGCTCCTACTAATGGTTAATGGTGGCGCTTAAAACGTTATCCCTTCCTTCCGTTTATCGCTCTTGTCCAGTCTTCTCCTGTCCCACCAAGGATCAAAACCCCTCTCCATTACTCACCTTTTTCCCAAGGGGCTTGCTTAAGAGAGAGTTGTGGGCCCAGGGAGACACTGCCACCCTTCCTCCCAGCCCAGAGCATCCCAGCTTACAAGCTTGCAGGGCCTGTGGGGGTGAACCACGCGGATGATCTCCCCGGTGGGGATCAGCTCCACTTGCAGTGCCATTCCGCCTGTGGACAGCCAGCGTGCTGGGCACTGGGGCCTTTGAGCAAAGGCCTGCCTGCCTGCCCACTGGCTATGGCGGCTCCTGAAGCCAGGAATCTGGTCTCACGCTGTGATGGCTACTTGGTTCAGCTTCAACTCCAGCCCCAGGGGATGTGTCTGGTCCAGCTCCTCAGGACACAGCTGGACCAGCCCGGGTCTGATTGGGAGGCCTCTTGGCCCAGAGGGTTGGGGCAGGAAGAGGAGGGGCTGAGTGATGGGAGGAAATGCCTGTTATCCCAGGTAACAAGAGCAGCTGATATAGCCACCCTTGGGGTACCATGGGCTCTAGGTCAGAGGGTAGGCCTTTCCCCGCAGCAGCTCTATGGCTGGGCCTCTCCCCCTGCCCATTCAGTGGTGTCAGCTGGAGAGCACAGTGACCACTCCCCAAACCAGAATGCACATCCTATCCTAAGCCAAGAGGATCGACCCATCAGTAGGCACTGCCCCTCCTGCATGCACCCCCCGCCCCATTTACCTGTCTCCCACCAGCAGTTGAGCCCCTTGAGTTTGAAAGGCCAGGGCTGCTGGGGGCTGGCCATGTTGGACAGAGGGGGTTGGCAGGCTGGGCTGGAGAGGCAGGAGGGCACTCTTGGGGGGGCACCCTGTCCTGCCTTGCTCTGGAGTCTCAAACGCTTGGGAGGTTGATCGCTGGGTTCTTTGGCTGTGGGCAACCTTAGCCCTGTTGACTCTTTTTCCATTAGCACCCTCAGGTATCCCCCACCCTGAATGTTCCTGTTTTTCTATCTTTATTGTTGCTAAATCACAGCTGACACTTTCCTGGCCTGGGACTGAGCCCTTGGGTCTCCAGCCATTCCTTATAGGAAGTGAGAAGGGGAAGTGGATGGGGGAAAGTGACCTTTCCAGAGGGAAATGCTGGCATGGGAGGGGTGAAGTCCAGTGCCGGGCAGTCACCGTCCCCCAGGCACTGGTCCCTTCCCTCCTCACAGCCCGCCCGCCCCGGAAAGACCAGCAAAGCTTCCTTCCTTCCTCCAGGAAGCACATCTATCCAGGGCAGGCTCATCCCAAGCAGCCACACAATAGCCCTTATCAGCCCTGGAGCCAGGCACAGAGACCCAGCGCGCACCAAGTCTCACATATTTCCTGTTTCCACCCAGCGGGTCAGGGCTGGGCCCAGAGCGGCCATATCCTGACTGGGCCAAGAGGAGGGAAAGCACTCCCCCTTCCCCTCCCCGCCTCTCAACCCCTGCCTGCCGGACTCACCCTGCCAGCTAGGAGGGGTTCTGCAGCCAGAGGTGGGGTAAGGGCGAGTGAAGACTTAAGGGGGAAGGGGAGAGGTGGGCATGTAGAGGACAAGCATTCTCCACAAGCAGGAGAAACAGGGGACCCCTGGACTCAGAAGCCCTGGAGATCCAGCCCCAGGGCTACATTAATCAGAATAAGGAGGTAGGTATAGTGTTGCTTTGGTTTTGTTTTTCAGTACGACTGTTCTCTCACAACTCTGTTGAAATAGGTGCATTTGTATTTTACAGACAACCGAGACTATGTGGGTAGAGATGGAACTCGGATTCAAACTCAGGTCTTGACCCAGTTCCTGTTGCTGGCCCTATCATGCCACTTCTGAGCTGTGGTCTGACAAATGAAGGGTGCTAAGTGGCAGCACCCATTCTGGCTGTGCATGTGAGAAGGAATGAAGTGGGTGAGAGCAAGGGTTCAGGGGTCTTCAGGTGTGTGTGTGTATTGGGGGAAGGGATAGAGGTTACCATGGGAGCTTCTGAGTAGGGGGTATCAGGGGTAGAAGAAAAGATGGTGACATTTTTGGAAGCTTAACTCAGGACCAAGGCTCAAGACCAAGGCCACAGCTCCTCTACCACATGCTAACCCTGAGGGAGTGGCGGGGGAAGAGGGATGAGCCAGTGAGAGCAGAGTAAGCACCTTTTCTAAGAGTTATCAGTTCCAAGAAACCTATCCTACTTAGCAGCAAAGTAAATTAAATGCCCAACAGCATGCCTCAAGGGGGCCAGGGACCCAGAGGGCCACTATTCCAGACCCTCGTCCCATTCCCACCTGGGCAACATCTGTCACTCTCAGACACAGAGAGTCCAGTCTGGATCTATAGGGCCCTCATCCTGGAGTCTAGGGAGGGCCCATCACCATGTTCCCCTTCCTACCACCATCATGAAGGAGTCACACACAAGTGGAAAAGCCATGTTTCTAATTATCTCCCAATGTGACAGACAGAACACAGTCAAGGCCCGCTAGAAGTCAGGGGGACAGTTCTTGATGTCCACGGCTCCCAGGGTGGAGTATGGGCTGCAGAGCAACTAGAGTAGTCCTCCATTTCAGGTTGTAGGACTGGTGTGACCGTCACAGAGCAGGCTCCCTGAGGTGTCTCTTCCTGGGAGAAGGGCCGTGGAGTCACCAGTGACTGGAGGCAAGTGGCAGGAGTAGGGATAGCCATGTCCACACAGCACCTAGAGAATGCGCTGGAGACCCCCAGGGCCAGATTCTCCAAAACATCTGGATTCCAGCCTTCCTCTCTGCCCGCCCCACTTCTAGGTCCTTGAGTGGTCTAGAGAGAGGGCAGGTTTCATGACGTCAGGCAAGGGTTGGGGCAGATGAACTCAAATGGGCCAAGACCATCGTGGAAAATGTGTGGCCACAGCTCTTCTACCACATGCTAACCCTTCATAAGATGACAGGTTGGGGGCATGATCCCCAGCAGATGTGAACCTGGGTTCAATTCTCTGCTCAAGTCCTGGAACTTCCTGGGTCACACTCCATGGGGGTAGGGGGGCGCAGGCAGGACACTCAACCTGCCCACAACCCTTACATAAGAGCCTGGGTAAAGGGACCCCTCCATCCTGCCCACTTAGTCATACTGCTTCTGCTCAAAGGATCTCAGACCTTCTTCCCATCCCTCAGGAGGACAGGCAACAAGATGCCAAGACTCCTGGAACCCAGTGCTGCTCACGCCAACCACTCTATGGAGCCTGTACAAATGTAAGCATCTCCCCCTCCCATGCAGCCTGAGGCCCAGGATGGTGAGACAAGAATGCAGGCTCGTGCCAGATGGGGCATGTGCTTGGCAGGCCTGCTTGGACAAGACTGGAAGTGTGTGTGAGGAAAATCAAGAAATTAGATAGATGTAGGCTGCAGGGTCATTCCCACATCCGGTGGACTGTTCCCACGTCTTAACTAGCTGGTTTCACTCACATCTCAGCAACAGAAACCTGTATTTAAACGGCCAATTCCAGAGATCTGGACTGTAGAGAGCAAAGGAGTGTGGCTAGAACTCCCCTTGCGGGGTGAAGGATACTTGCTGCCTCCTCAGGGGGCTGGCTGGGCCCCCAGCACTCCTGGAAGGTGGTGAGCAGAGCTGGCTGCCAGCTCTCGCCTCTGCCCTGGATGCCCCTCATCGAGGCTCAGATCTGCGGTTGGGCTTCACCCAGTGGGTCCTCCTCCAGGGCTGGAGGCTGGATCTGCAGGGATAAAACAGGTAGTAGCGGAAGGGGAGAGAAGAGGTTTTCCTCCATATTGTTCCATCACTGCTGATCCCCAACTGCTGCAGCTCCGGGTACAGGTTGGCTCCTAGGCCTGCGGCTTTGGAAATGGATGAGGGGCTCAAGTCCTCTCCCTACCTTTCCCCTTACCCCACCACTTTACCTTGAAGGGATTGCTTATCCCCACCACGGAATGTAGATTGTTGCTATAGTAACAGAGGAGAAACTGATCCTCAGTCTCAGGGATATTGCTGACATTGATGTAAACCTGGAGGGGAGGATGGACAGGAATGGGGTCAGCTCCACAGCCCTAGGTCCCACCAAGCTCTTAGCAACAAGTTATCCAGTAGGAAACCCCACCTGCTGGAGATGTGGAATACCAATCTCAGGAAGGGGGCAGGTACCTGGTTCAGCCTGTTGTTGAAGGAGACCTGGTTGTCCTTGACCCAGACATAGGACACGTAGTCATTAATGTGTCGAAGCCCCACCTGCGGGAGGGGAGAATTGGGCAGTCAGTCAGTGGTCTGGGAGGACACAGGATCTACAGCAAGTCCCAAGGAGAGGATGGTCTCATTCCTAGGTTGGCTACCATACAGTGTGCCCTCCCCTTTGCTGCCAGTCCCTAGATGAGCTCTTTAGTCTCCGTGCCCAGCTCCTGTGAGCCCTCAGGACGGATAAACCAGAGGGGTGCATGGCTGACAGACTCCCTGCCTCGCCCATCACATCACCTTGTACAGTCCAATCCAGTCCCAGGGGCTGCTGGGGAAGTCTGGGGTCGAGGAGTAGCTGATAAGCATGTCGTTCTCCATGGTCCACTGGCCCTCAGGCATCAGGGTGATCAGTGGGACGGATACCAAAGGCTTCAGCTACACACAGGGATGGGAAAAGGGTTGAAAATCCACAGCATCATTCCCTTCTCTGAGATAAATGTCCTTCCTATGCCCTTCCAACAAGTAAGAGTCAGAGGGAGAGGAGGGCACCAGGGCAGTGGGCACAGAATGCTAGGCTGCCTTAGAAAGCAGCAGACCTTGCGGGCCAGCTGGACAGAGAGGAACAAAGGCTTGTCGGGTGGCTGGCCCTGACAGGAAGGATGGGGCTGAGGGCCGGGTGGGCAACCAAGCAGAGAGCCCAGTTCAAGTGGGGGTGGGGGTAGGGTGGAGGGAACTGCTGACAGGTTTTTGTTTTTGTTTTTTTATCCTCACCCGAGGACACTTTTTTGCGTTTATCTTCAGATAGAGTGGGAAGGAGAGAGGGAGGAAGAGAGAGAGAAACATTGATGTGAGAGAGACACATCGACTGGCTGCCATCCACACGACCCCGAATGGGGCCAGGGACAAATTGCAACCAAGGTACATGCCCTTAGCGGGAACTGAACCCGGGACTCTGGTCCGTGGGCTGATGCTCTAACTGCTGAGCCAAACCGGCCAGGGCTGCTGACAGGTTTAAGGAGCCAGGTAGCTACTCTCAGACCTTCAAGATTCCTGATCCAAAGATCAAAATTCAGTTTCTCAGGGGAAGGCTGAGGGCAGCCAGCAGCTCAAAGGCTAACACTGACTTGGGTCATTACATGGCAAAACACAAAGATGGAGGGAGCTCCTTTTGCAACCTGATCCAGATAGGTTCAGGACAAATGAAAGGAAGTCCTGCTTCACATAGTGGGTAATAAGCATAATGGAACTCAACCCCAAGGGACAGCACCAAGAGGAAATGGAAACCTATTCACAAGGGGTCTGAGCACATTTTTGACAGGCAGTCATCAACAGCTCCTAAGAAGAGCTGGGATACCTGACCTGGGAGGAAAGGCAATCATGTCCTCCTCCAGGTCTCCCCTGGGGGATCTGTTGACATTAGAACCCAGGGCTGGGGGGTTTGGGGATACAGCCCAACATGGCTGCTCCTCTGTCAAGTGCCAGGCAGCCGAGAAGTTCACCTCCAAGTCAAAGGTGCCGGTGACAGGCTTATGGTCACTGATGGTGTACATCATGTGGCTGACGTAGCTCCTCAGAGACAGGGAGAAGTGAGGGGCCGGCGGCTTAGGGGTGCAGGAGCCAGTGTGGGGCTGCCGCTTCAGCCTCCACAGGATGCGGTCAGTCCATGCAGGCTTGCGTTTTTTCTCACTGGGGGAGGGAAGAAAAGGAGAAACAGGGAGAGAAGAGAACGTTGGCAGGAGAGTAACAAGGTGCCCTCACAAGCTGCTGGGGCCACTACCACCAGGGTCGATCAGGGCCGGGAGTCCCCTGGGCCAGAGCTGGAGCACCACTGGCAGCGGCAAGCAGGGCACCGGCAGAATCAAAAGCGCGCTGGCCTTTCTTAGACTCGGCCAAGGACCCTCAGGTGAGTCTACATCTTTATGAATCAAACTGTGACTCAGAAGATTCCATTTCAAAGCTTTTCTTATTTTTTGAACAAGAAGCAGTCAATCAAAGAAGCTGAGGGCTAGAGTTTGGAGTTGGAGAGGTCTTGAGCTTGAATTTGGCGTCTCCCTTACTAAAGGTGCACCCTTAGGAAAGGAAAGGAAAGCATTTAGGGAATGCTCACTACCTGCCTGTGATTAGCAGTGTTTATCTCGCTCTCTATAGGTGGAGAGATCGAGTCTTAGCGGGGAAGTAACTTTCTCACAGTCACACAGCTGCTGAGCGGCAGAGCCAGGATTCCAGGCCAGACAGCACGCCCACAGAGCATGTGCTCTAAATCACCTGGCCAACCCTTCCTAGGCCTCAGCCTCCTCAACGGTCACATGGAGAAGAGTAGTTACCTCCTAGGGTTGCTAAGATGATTAAATGAGATAAAGCACAAAAAAGTGTTCAGCACAGTGCTTGGTATAAGTTCTCTGCAGTTACTGCCTATTATGGTTCTTTGTTCTCAACAGTCAATTGAGAGACTCCCACCTGTTCTTCACGGAACAGTTTCCGAGGAGCACGAGAGGACCTACGACACTGGAGAAAAGAGCGTTTTCCTCCACTAGGTAACTGGAGTTGCCCCAAGACAGGCAAACCTCTGACTCCTAACCCAGTCCTACCTCAAGCAGCTGAGTATTCTTTAAGGTCGGCTGGGCAGTCCAGGCCGGTGTGGCTCAGTTGGTCAGAGCACTGTTCCATGCACCGAAGGGTCATAGGTTTGATTCCCAGTCAGGATACCTACCCAGGTTGCAGGTTCAGTCCCCGGTTGATCCCCGATTGGGGTTCATTCGGGAGGCAACTGGTTGATGTTTCTCTCTCTCTCCTTCTCCCTCCCTCTCTCTCTATTAAAAAAAAAAATCAATAAAAACATATCCTCAGGTGAGGATTAAAAAAAAAAGATGGCTTGGCCTGTGTGGCTCAGTAGTTGAGCGTTGACCCATGCACGAAGAGGTCGCTGGTTCGATTCTCCATTAGGGCACATGCCCAGGTTCTGGGCCAAATCTCCAGTGGAGAGAGAGAGACCTCGATGTGAGAGACACATCAATTGGTTGCATCCCACATGACCCTGACTGGGGCTGGGGATTGAACCACAACCAAGGCATGTGCCCTTGACCAAGAATTGAACCCACGACTCTTTGGTCCACAGGCTGATGCACTCACTAACTGCTGAGCCAAACCGGCCAGTGCAGCAATAGTTTTCTGGCAATAGAGGCAGAATGGTGTCTCGATGGCAAACTCCAACTCTAGGATCAGAGACCAGTTAGGGCAGTGGTTTTCAACCTTCCTAATGCCGTGACCCTTTAATACAGTTCCTTGTGTTGTGGTGACTCCCAACCATAAAATTATTTTCATTGCTACTTCCTAACTGTAATTTTGCTACTGTTATGAACTGCCATCAGAAATATGTTTTCCGATGGTCCTAGGTGACTCCTGTGAAAAGGTTGTTTTGACCCCCAAAGGGGTCGCGACCCACAGGTTGAGAACCGCTGAGCTAGGGGAAGGTTCTGGGCTGGTGAACAGGTGTAGACGGGAGAGTGGCGGGCCTGGAGAGGGCATGGAAGCTCCTGGCCCCTCCCCATGCCTAGCCCTGTGCATCTCTTCCACTTGCCTGTTCCTGAGTTACATCCTTTATAATAAACCAGTAATCTAGTTTTAAAAAATAAAAAGGCTATGTGCCCTTGGGCAGGTGACCTCATCACTCCAAGCCTTGATTTCTTTGACTCTAAGATGGGTTGATAATAGTACTTACTTCAAAGAACCAATTGTGAAGATTAAATAAATTAAGGTGCGTCAAGGGAGTGGTCAAGAAGTGCTAACTGGCTAAACCACATCTGCTTGGACCTCCTTGGATTGTTTCAACCATTCACTCTTCTGAGGAGTGTTCAGAGGACATCGGAATGTTCCATCCCAGAGACTACAGACATTGAGTCTTGGACGCTCAGTGCCTAAGAATACTTAAAACTTGGTAAAAAACCACAGGAATGTACCGCTCTCCCTTTCAAAACACTCCCCCTCCCCAACTTCCCTCATAGCTAAGAGCCCAGACTTGCTGTCACGTCAGAATTCTCCCCAGGCCTGACCACGGCCTAGCTCTCCGTCCTCCTCCGCACCTCTCAGCCTGCCTCCCTCTCGTCCTTTTCCATGGTCTGCCCCAGGCTCATCCCTGGCCACCTGGAGGGCTCATTCTCTCAACAAGATTTACAGAGCCCTTATTACATGCCAGGCCAACTGGGGACCTGATGAATGAGATCGACAAGGGCCCTGAGAAGCTTGTTTGACAAACGAAAGAACCAAATAAGCAAAATAAATATGTACTAATCAAATATTACATCTATCTCCCAGTTTTCCATTTCTAGTAATAACAAAGCTAAACATGGGGTCCTTCTGGCATCCGGGGCTGTGACAGGTGTCCTGCAGACTGTTCTAACCCTTCCAGCACTGGGAGACTGCTACAGATCACATTTTCTCCTCCCACAGAAGTTCAGAGAGGCCACACTGTCCAGGTGGAGGCCGAGGCTTGCGCAGGTGTGTGGACTGTGGCCTGCGCCCCTCTCCTCTAGCTTGCCCTGCTGTGGCCAATTCCCAGCTGTCAGGACTGTCTTACAGCGCGGTACCTGAATGGGGCCTCACTAATGCTTTGTGGCTGAATGGTCATGACTAAATACAAGAATTGTTTCTGGAGACTGGTATGTCTTTACTTTCAAAAAATTAAAACCAACAGCCTAAAAAAATGGAGCCAATTTACTGACCCAAAAGTACTGTGATGTGTTCCATTTTGGGGTCTGAAAGCACTTTTCCCTTCAGCTCCCCAAAGACGGCTCCGAAGTGTCTCACTAAACTCTGGACACGAGTCTTGACTACGCTGATCATAAAATCCTCAGCTCACTGCCGAGCAGAGGCTGACTGGGTTCATGTAACACAACTCTATTGCAATCGCTGACTTTAACAGGATTTCCCGCCCTCAGCCCTTTCACCCTCCCCTGTAATGAAGCCGACCTCGGTTCTCCTTACATCTTGGCTCCGGGACACTGCTGTGCTGAGCAAAGCGGCCTCCCGGGCCCTGCACGCAGCTCCCTCAGTGACTTGGTACGGCTGGGTCAGGCTCCACTCAAGGTGCCTCTCATCAGGGCTGCTGACTGATCGGAATGCCTGCCCTGCTTTCTGCCAAACTCTGCTGCCTTCTTGACAACTCTGATTGACTCCTCCTGGCTTCAGCTGCTCCCCTCACCATTTGCTTCAACCTCCTTTGGCATTTCCACATTGAGTTTGGGAACCTTCTATCTGCCAACTCATGGACTTTATAGTGTTTATTTGGATCTCTTGCTATGGGTGGGTCCCTCTACTAGACTGGCTGCTCCTTAAATACTGTATCTTTCCCTTTCATCCTTTCAGGCTCCCACTTTAAACATATGCCAGGCACTATGCTACATCCCAGGAATGGTCATACATCAGATCCTACCTTTGCACTTTGGGCATTCATGGTACAGCAAGAAAAGCATACTGGGTCTTAAAAGCAACATGGAAAGCATGGTGTGTGCAAGGCTGTGGCACATGAGGGCAGGAGAGAACTCCCAGTGAGACGGGGAGGCTGGGGCAGGGAAGGCTCTTTCTTTTTCTTAAAATATTTTTTAATTGATTTTAGAAAGAGAGGAAGGGAGAGGGAGAGAGATAGAAATATCGATGAGAAAGAACATCGACTGGCCACCTCCTGCATGCCCCCAACTGGGAACTGGGCCCACAACCTAGGCATGTGCCCTGACTGGGAATCAAACCGGTGACCTCTTGGTGCATGGGTCTACGCTTAATCAGTGAGCCACACCAGCCAGGCAGGAAGGCTTTCCAATAGAGATGATGTCTGAACTGGTTTTCAAAGATGAACACGGGTCCTGGCTGGTATGGCTCAGTGGTTAAAGCACTGGCCTGCGGTCCTGAGAGACCCGGGTTCGGTTCCCGCTAAGGGCATGTACCTCGGGTGCAGTTTGTCCCCGGCTCTGGTCGGTCGTGCGGGTGGCAGCCACTCGATGTGTTCCTTTCACATTGATGTTTCTCTCTCTCTCTCTGTTCCTCTCTCTCCCGCCCACTCTACCTGAACAAAAAATGGAAAAATTTCCTTGGGTGAGGATAAAAAAAAAAAAAGATGAACACGGGTCTGATTACATAGGAATGTTTCTGCTGCCTGTGTGGGGCTCAGGCCCTGGCCACCGCAGGAACTCCCGGGGGCCTCTGGCCCCTGGACCCAGATGGTGATATTTTAGTTATGATGTCCTACCACCCTGTTCCTGGAGTCACAGAGACTCAAGTTCAAATTCTTGTTCGAACACTTACTATGACTATCCTATGTATATATTTCAAGACTGAGTCTCTTTATTTGTAAAAAGTCAACAACAGAATCTACCTAACGAGGCTACAGTACAAATTGAGTGAAGTGATGCAGACAAAGCTCTCTGCACAATGCCTGGCAATCAGAAGTGCTCAACAATGTTGTTGGCTGCCTGGCTGGTGTGGCTCAGTGGATTGAGCATCATCCCATAGACTGAGGAGAGGTCCTGGTTCGATTCCCAGTCAGGGCATATGCCTGGGTCATGGGCTCGATCCCCAGTGGCGGGTAGGCAGGAGGCAGCTGATAGATGTTTCTATCTCTAAAAAAAATCAATAAAAACATACTAAAAAAAAAAAAGTGCTCAATAATGTCAACCACAATGTGGATTGGTGGATTGTATCTATGATGTGGAAATAAGTATCTGCCTCCTCCTTAGCAAGACTATGCTGTCCTGATCCTGTCCTCCTTTTTGCTGCTGCTACACAACTATTCAGAGGTACTGTGGGCTAGAGGAAAGCACTGTGCGCCAGAGTCCGGAGAACCAGGTCTGAGCCCCAGCTCTGCCATTAGCTAAGCCACCTGGGGAGGTCTTTTAACATCTCTGAGCCTCTACCCAAGCCCAGTCCCTGCCAACTACAACCTAGACCCAGCTGTTTGCAGTAACTTTCATCCAGTCTCCTGGTGGTTTCCCTACCATACCTAGGGGTGGGGGCAAAGAAACACCTGGCTACAAGGCCTGTAAGCAGCTCTCTTTCTGACAGTAGGGAGGTTTTAAGCCAATTAGTGGACGGTCGCAGGCCCCAAGGCCCCAGCCTGTCCCACCAAGGCCTTATAATTTCTACAACTCTCATTTCCAATGGATGGCTGGGGAGACTGGCCGTCTCCCTACAGCTGTGGACCTGGGCCAACTGGAGCCTGCCCTCTTACCTCCTTTCTGGCCTGCTCAATTGCCCTGGCTGAACCCTGTTTCCAGTGTTCATGGCCTCTTCTTGTGTGCATTGCCCAGGCCATGACCCCATTCTGCCTTGCTCCACACTCCTGAAATGGCCTGCCTCCCATTCCTTGGTGGGGACACTGGCTCTGCCACACCACTGCCAGCACGGGGCCAGCAGTCTACCTCTCGCCCTGGCCTGGCTGTGCAGAGACCTAGTCACCCCTAAACCCCAGGGGCCTGGTTGCTCTGGAGGACCTCCTACCTCCCTCGTAAGACAGTCCGGATAGGAAGAATAAATGAGGGAGCTGTTCCAAGTGAAACAAAAAGCTCCATGACATGGAAGGGGTTCTTTTCTCTCCCTGCCCTAAGCTGGGCCGAGGATCCCTTGCCAGCGCTGCTTTGGCCTTCTCCTTAAGCCCGAGGTTTTGGTGGTTACCTGGCCCCTTCTCAGCTCCTCAGAAAGGTTTTCAGTAAAACTATCACCTGCCCTGGCTGGGTAGTTAGTTCTGTTGGTTAGAGCGTCATCCAATATGCCAAGGTTGCGGGTTTGATCTCCGGTCAGGGCCATACAAGAATCAACCAATGAATACACAGATAGGTGGAACAACAAATCGCTGTTTTTCTCTCTCTCTCTCAAATCAATCAATAAAATAAAATAAAAACCTATAAAAAAGAAAAACTACCACTTGAAGACATGAATCTAAAAATAACAGCAGCAGTTATCACAGTGTATACTGGGTGCCAGGCACTGGGTTATACATATGCAAGGTTGCATTCAATCCTCAACCCAGGTGGGTACTGTTATCACCCCCATTTCATGACAAAATCGAGCCTTAATACCTTGGCCAAGGTCATGCAGCTGATGCAGAGCTATGCTTCTGACTATCAGATGCACTGTCTCTGTATTTCTCCTCATAAAATTCTCCACTGATCACTACTTCATCTTCCTAAATAGTACCTGACCACTCGCAGCTAGGGTAGGGGTACTCAATACCAGTAACTGGCTAAGCCAATCCTCCGTCAGAGGAGGACCAGAAAGCCCTGGGGGGTGGGGGTAGGGGTTCCCAGAATGCTGAAAAGCAGCCCCTGGTAAGTCAGGAATCAGCTGTCTCTTCTTCTCTGGCTCTACCTGCCCCGCTGCCCACCCCCATCCTGGACAGCACTGGCCCCTGCTTCCTCTGAGGACAGTGTAGGACAGCTCCCAGCCGGCGCCTCACAGGGGGTGAGAGGCTCCACTCCTGAGCATGGTGGCTGAATCTGTTCCTGCTTCCCTAACACTTCTATTCTGATGCAACCCAACTGCCACTAGGGCAGCAGTCTGACTTCCCAGGCCTCCCAGCTCCCCATTTCCAGAGACTAATTCCAGAACCAGGATAGGCTGGTTCTCTACTGCCGGAGCCCCCTCACCTGGTGTCATAGTTGTTGGAGTTCTTATCAAACTTGTAGGTGGGCGGGAAGAGCAGGGGGCCCTCCTGGAACTCCCGGAGCAGTGGGTCGCACTTCTTGGCAACGCTGAGCTGCAGAGAAAGGCACAGCCCCATCTCGCAGTGGTCTGGACCCCACGACCCCACAGCCAGCACCACACTCCATTTAAGGGGTCAGCCAGCAAGGAGAGGGAAGAGTCAAGCAATGCCACCACTTCCTCACAGCCCGGGGCAGCCTCAGGTCCCACCCCACCTCCAGAACAGCTGAATCCTTTTGCAGACATGACCCCACAGCCCCAGGGGAGGCAGCTGCCTGCCATTTCCTAGTCCTTGCACTACAGGGACCAGGCTTTGCATTTCATCTCTCTGGGAGCCACTAGCAGACAAGTGTCAAGAGGGGAGGCTGGGGTAGCCAGGGTTCCCCAAATGGGTGGTATTGAATCCTCTGGGAGGCAAGCAAGCCGGGGGCTAGGAAAGACGACAGGGATACAAGCAGGTCAAAACCCTTCTTGCTCCCTATGATAATGCACACCCAGTAGCTCTACCCTGGTTCCTCCAAATGAAGACCAGGTCCTGACAGGACCAGTGGCCCACCCCCAGGTGCGAAGCCCTATTAGACTCCTCCCTGCCTGGGCACAGGATTTCAGAGGACTGGGAAAGGAGAACAGGCACTGGGGAACCTGAGCAACGCCCTGCACATTTCATGCTGGACCTCCACCATGGGCTCAGATCACCCCTCCGGACCCCATTGATACCTGATCCTTCTCCCACAGGTCGCCGTAGCACTGACTTTTTATGGATTCCCGAACAAAGTGCAACCCAAAGTCCTCGATCCGAAAGTTCATGTCTCCAAACCAGACAATGAGGCTTCAGAAAGAAAAGAAGGCAGCCTGAGGTTTGTGATGAGGACAGAAGGGAGGAGCAACAGGTGGCTCAGGCCTGCTCAGCCAGGGGCTGCAGGTGAGAAGTCAGATGCTGGGAGAGCACTAGGTGGAGGCTAGGGCATAGGCCCAACAGGACTGTTTTCTTGGCTCCTGCTCCATCGGTTAAGCCGAAGAGACTAGTCCTGAGGACAAGTGGCAAATATGAAGCAGGCTCTGGTTCTCTCTCCCTCTTCCTCAACTGGCCACTAGGCAAGGCTGAGAACCAGCCCTTTGGGTGACTTCATGGTTCCTGACCAGGGATATTCAGAAGTGTCTTGGGCTTCTAGGCAGGACAAAGGGGCCAGGGAAGGGAAAGGGGTCCCAGACCCCATGCAGGCAAAGCTGGATGAGAGAGCAGATGAGGTATAGGGGCGAGGCTGGGAGAGGAGCACAGTCCACCTCTGGCTGGGCAGCAGGGGCTGGGCAGAGGACGCTAGCCGCTAGCCGGGGCTGGTGTGGGAGAGAGGGCGGGCAGCAGTCTGCAACTGCATGCTCACTCATGGTCCAGGATGTTGGGGATATCAAGTCCCTTAAAATTCTGCATCTCCAAGATCCAGTCAAAGTGCTCCAGCCGCTGGTCATTGTTGGCCATGTGGGGGGGCAGATGGCAGTTGATGATGCTGACATAATAGCCATACAGCTTCAGGCAGATGTTGACGCCCCCTTTGTTCCCCTGGTAGGACAAGTGGGCAGAAGGGTAGAAGCTGCTGTGGGTGGGAAATACCTCTCTTTTCCCGCCATAGGCCTGAGGGGAGATGGTCTCTCCTCCCACAGGATCTCCCAGGGCATTCGGCTTCCCAGGGACAGCTCTCCATCCACAGAGCCCAGCTCACCCTGCCTGAGGCCTCAGAGGCAGGAGAGGTAGGTAGGGCACTAGACCGGACAGAATGTCAATTCATTTTACCCCTTTTTCCATTTGCCCAGCTCTAAAGCCCCCAGCCCTTCCCAGTCCAGTGATGGAAGGCCTCCCAGCTCATGACAGACAAGATTCAGTCCTTACCCAGTACCCGAAGAGGCCAGTGGGGGTGGATTTAGTAGAGAGGATCTGGATAAAGGGCAAATGCTGATACTTGGCAAAGACCAATAAGAGGAGCCCCTGCATGCGAACATAGGAGACCTGCAGGACAGGGGAGGACAATGGTCATTCATTTCCCTGCACAGGATGAGTGCGTCCCTGTCAGGCCCTGTGCCATACAAATGCCCTCCCCTAGGAATATGGTATCTCAGTTCATGTCTCAGAGCTTCGCTCCCTTTAGCTGCCAAATGATGCATTGTGGGAGCTGGGCAAGTTCGTTTCTGTTCCTGGATCTGGGCGTTGAGGACAGAGAAGGCAAGGCTGCCAGGGCACCCTGCCATCAGGAGGGCATCGATCCTTCAGTCCCAGCCCCATGCATCAGGTGCTCCTCTCACCGATGCCCTCTTGAGGTCATCTGGGTACCCTTGGGCCACCATCCCTATGGGCCAGGGCCTCAAAGAGGAATGCAGCTATCAGATAGTGGCTAGGGGCTCTGACTCTGACGTTAGCCAGATCTGGTTCAAATTCTGGCTCAGGTTCTTAGCATTTGCTACCGGGCAAGTCTCTCAGCCTATTATCTCATTGACAGAGTAGGACTCTATCTCGTAGATGCTGGAAGAATTAACTGGCAGCTATTCTTTTTTGGTTTAAGGATTCTTAAAATTAAATGCAGGGAAGGAACACAAGAGAGCCTTCTAGGGTGCTGGAAATATTCTGACTCTTGACTAGATTGGCAGTAACATGGATGCGTGCGTATACACATAAAACTCCATCAAACCGCACACTTAACTTTCTGCACATATTATAGCTCGGTGGAAGAAAAAACTAAGAAAATGCTCCCCCAAAGTAACTACAGATGGTGGACAGTGGAAGTTCACAAAAGCAGCGTAGAGGGGGTGACAGTGAGTAGAGGGCCTGTGTTCGCAGGTTGGGGAGAACAGGTAACATCTCCTGAAGTGCTTCCTATCCCGTTTGATCTTTACACCAACCCTGTAATGAACACTGCCCATTTTTCAGATGAAGGACTGAAGCTCAAGGAGACTAAGGAACCAGGAGGATCACCTGGGTAACAACATCAAAGAACCAGGACTGCCAAAACCCCTGCTGTCTGTGGCCACGTTGGTGGGCTGGGCAAGAGAATGGGCCGTAGCTGGTGACTCTGTCAGCTTCAGGCTGTCTGCATCTACCAGTCAAGTAGCTGTTTCCGGAGCTTGAGGTGCAGAGGCCAAGGAGGAAATCCCCGGGTGGGGAGTGTGTACTGGGGCCTTCCAGGAATTATGAAACTTGATCCCGCAGGCCAGGAGCTCTGGCACAGTGGAGGAGTCAAAGCAGGGGGAACCCCAAACCCAGGACTGAGGGAGGGAAGCATGAGAACCTAGGGGTGGACAGTGGTTGCTACAACTGTGTCCACAGTCCTACCCTCCACCCCCAGTCTTGGTTTCTACCCTTCACATGCACATATGGTAATGAAAGTAGGGAAAGGGCTAGACTGTGAGGCACTGGCTCCCAAGGGAACGAATAAAGATTCAGGGAGTTTCAAGTTTAATCCTAACCCAGAGTTGATCTGGGCCACTGGGCTCCACCACAAAGGTACCCGTCCACTTTGTGAAGGAGCAGGGAAGTGGAGGGGTGGAGGTGGGGCAGGAAGGCCTCAGCCTGGGAGAGAGGGTGGGGCTGTGGGGAAAGGCAGGAGATTTGTAGGGGAAGTTCTAGTTAGAGGAAATGCAGTGGGCAGGGCTAAGGAAGGATCTATCGAGGAGGAGGTGACTGGGAGTCCTGGAGCCAGCAAAGGGGCAGCCCCAGGCTTCTCAACCTACTCCCCTCTAAGAAACAGGCTGCAAGCAGGGCTCACCCCTTCACCTCAATTTTTGGCTGGGGGTAGGAGAGTCATCTGCTTTGGGTGCCAGGCCCCAGGCTGGCCTCTCAACTTTGGGAGGTGGCATGGGTAGAATGGGTTGTGTCCTTGCCACAAGGTGGGGTAATTTTCTTGGCTCAATTCCGTTCTACCAATCCTTTGCCAGCTAGTTGAGGTGCAAGGAGGCCTCCAGTCCTGGGAAGGAAGTGGGTGGTGAGAGAAGTGGTTCTGCCCTCTGAAAGCTTCCAGCTCCGTGTCTGCAGGAAGAGACCTGAGTTTAATCTGCAGGGAGCCCAGGGCTTGGGGCTGGCATTTTCTAGCCTCGGCAGCAGGACCAAATCGTGTATTCCCTCCTCCTGGCTCTGCCTTCTTTGGTTGGAATCACAACCAAACTAGGGTAACAGAATTCATTCTAAAGAAATCCAGTCACCCAGCGAAGGGAACAGGGCAATTCTGGTGTTTTCCTGAAGGACTGCATAGGTGCTTTGAATGGGACTGTGTTTCATCCCTCTGCTAGGCAAGGCTGAAAGGTGAAGATCAGCAATCTAGAGCCTTCCTATGGGTTCTTCTCTGGTCTAAAGATTCCTCAAAGAATACTGGCTCTTCAAACTGACAACCCTTTTCCTCCACACTTATCTCCTCTTTCTTAATCTCTGGGCTCCTGAGAATTTGAGGTGCATGACTCCTATAATCAGAAGACACCCTCTGATACCAGCAGGTTCATCATGGGATACCTGTCAGCCTTAGAGCTCATCAGTATAGCAATAAAGTATAGTAGTTAAGAATATGGGATATGGCCTGGCTGGGTGACTCAGATGTTTGGAGCATCATCCCGTACACTAAAAGGTTGCAGTGTACGGGATAATTCCTGGTGAGGACGCATACCTAGCTTGTAGGTTCAATCCCTAATTGGGACATGTATGGGAGGCAACCAAGTGATGTTTCTCTCTCTTAAAAAAAAAAAATCGCCCTGGCCGGTTTGGCTCAGCGGTTAGAGGGTTGGTCTGCGGTCCAGAGAGACCCGGGTTCGGTTCCCTCTAAGGGCACATACCTCAGTTGCAGTTTGTCCCTGGCCCTGGTTGGGTCACGCGGGTGGCAGCCAATCGATATGTCCCTTTCACGTTGATGTTTCTCTCTCTCTCTCTCTTCCTCTTTCTCCCTCCCACTCTATCTGAACAAAAAATGGAAAAAGTGTCCTTGGGTGAGAATTTATAAATAAATAAATAAATGAACGAACGAACGAACGAATGGATGAATCCCACTTTGGTTCAGCGGTTAGAGCATCTTCCAGTGGCCCAAAGAGTCGTGGGTTCAATTTCCGGTCAAAGTCACATACCTCGGTAGCAGGTTCAATCCCCGGCCCTGGTTCACATTGATGTTTCTCTCTCTCTCTCTCCCTCCCTCCTCCCACTCTATCTAAAACAAAATAAAACAAAACAAAACAAAAAAAACAATGGAAAAATATCCTCGTGTGAGGATTTAAAAAAAAAGAATATGGGTTATGAAGTTTGCAAGACCTGGATTCAAACCCCAGAGAGCCTATATGACTTCTGCATCTTGATTTTTATCTGCAAAATACCCACATTTCAAGAGAGTTGTTAAGATTTAAAAATAATGTAATATCCTAGCCGGTGTGGCTCAATGGTTGAATGTTGACCGAGGTCACCGGTTCAATTCCCGGACAGGGCACATGCCCAGGTTGTGGGCCCGATCCTCAGTTGGAGACATGTAGGAGGCAGCCAATCGATGTTCTCTCTCATTGATGTTTCTATCTCTCTCAGCCTCTCTCTCTCAAATCAATAAAGAAAAATTATTTAAAAAAATAATGTAATAAAGAGCTTATTTATAATACCTAATGTCAAATAAGAATTCGATAAATGGTAGCAATTATTATACTCAGAGACTGTAGGCTAGGCATGTGAGGAGAGATTGGTTAGTGACGGGGTAGGCACTGAGGTGTTAATAAGCCGTGATGCACCTCTCCAAGGAATTCTCCCAACCTGAAAAATATCAAGGTATAACTAACCCCTGGGGTCCCGGCTCAGCTCCAGCTACCTTGGAAAGGCACAAAGCAGGCAGGAACCCCAGGGAGCCAGGTGTAACTGAGGTTTAGGCCTTTAAATAAATGGGAAACAACATGAAAGCCTGAGTGGGAGACCAAAGGACTGAGGCTTAGTGACAAGAGGTAAGACACATTTCCCAATTGCCCATGAACTTCAAAATTACCTTGACGAAGTTGAGAGGGGAAAGCACATCCATGAAGAAACTGCTCCATGGGTCTTCAAAGGCAGTGTCAGAAAGGAGGCTCATGATCCCACAGTTCATTTCCTGCAAACTGCCCATCCCAGGTCAGAGGCTCTCCCCCTGGCCTAGAGGGTACTGCCTCTACCACAGACATTTAGTACGGTCCTCAGAGACTTTCAAGTCTTGGGTTCTCATGACTATGATCTCTCCCTCCCCTGGCTGTTAATCGCCAACCCCTTGCCATTGCTCACCTAGGACTAGAGACACTGACTGGCCCTGATGTAGACTGAAAACTCCTAGCCTTCAAACTCCAGAGCAAGGGAGAACATATGACTGCAGTTTCCAATGGGGACAACTTGGAACTGGCCAGGCTTACCTGATCTCAGCTATAGGGATAGGTGAAGGGGCCCTGTAGACACCTACCCAATGACATACATGTCCAGATTCAGGTTCTGGTTGTCCAGCTGAAGGAGATCATCAAGGTCTGGAGGTGGCGCTGCAGAGGCCACATTCCATGTCACAACATGTATGCTGTGGAAGGGATGAAAAGTAAAGTCATGGAGGAAGGAGGATAACACATGTCCAGGTAATGGACAGGGGTGAAGGCATGTTAATGGATGCACCACAGTCCACTGTGGTCATAACAAGAAACACGACTTTCTGCATCTGGTGGTGGGAATAGAGGCACTGAACTACAAGCCCTTCATCTTCACCTTTGTTCCCTGAAGCAGTAAATTCCCACCCCAGCCTGGCTCCTCTAGCAGGCCCACAGCTGAAGGGGTGGAGAGCCGGGAATTTATTAATTCCACCCACCATTCACATTGTAGCAATCATCTATGGCTCAGTTAGCACCTTCCCACTCCCCATTCTTCAACCCAATGGTTCCTAAGACCACCAGAAAGATTCTGGAGGTTCAGTTTTCACCTGTGAGACTTCAGCACCACAAGACAGGGATTTTTCAAAACAACAGAGATAACACCATGTTCCCTTCCTCACTTCTTCCTATGGTTGTGATCCCTGGAGTACAACTACTTCTGCCAGCATTTAAGAGACCCTAAGGAGAAGATTCCAAATAACAGGTTTCTCAACATCTCAAAAGTCTACCCTCTTTTGGGGAAAAGTCATCAGTTGGATAACATCCTTCATCTCAGTTTCATATGTGCCCTAGGGAAGCAACAGAACTAGATCATCAGCTCTCATTAACAATGGATCACATCAGAGGCTCAGGGGAGTAAAAAACTTGCAGATCTCAACTGAACAGTTACAGCAACACTCCAAGGAAGCCCCAGATTATGCTCAGTCCAGAGTAGGCAGTGGCCACAAACCCTGTGGAGAGCGAGAGCAGCCACCAAACCTCAGGTGAGTCCTAGGAACACCATGAAGAGGACCTGCAGCAGCAGATCTAGAATGGGAGAGGGTTAGAAAAGGGCAGGATATCCCAAAACATCTCTTCTCCACCAGACCCTGCTCTTAGAGGTCCACGTTCTAAAAAGCACAAGTTGAAATTCTTGGCCGCCTTAAAGCAACTTTCTGCGCCTTCGCATGAACATCAACAAAAGAATACAAAACACACCTTCCCCGGCACTCAGCTAGAGATTGTACTTCATTTATTTGTTAACGATCTCCCCCTGCTGTCCAACAGAGGATTAAGAAAGGCAGCCCTTTTATTTCAGGGCTCCTTGTTTTCCCAGAGACCTGTTCTAAGTGAATGGGGAGCAAAAGTCGGGATTCCTTGCCCAAATTCTCAAGTCCGACGATTAGCAGCAAGTCCTTGCATTGTGACCAGCACTAACTTGGTGATTAGCGTTGTTCCTCGCTCAAGAGCAAGCATGGGACCAGTTTATCTCATTTCACTAAAGGATCTTATCTAAATCGGTTTTTGGATTTTAGGTCACAAGGGGATCAGGCAGACCCCATGATGTAAAATGTTGGTCAGAAGTAAGAACAGCCCTGGCCAGTTTGCTCAGCGGTTAGAGCGTCCGCCTGCGGTCCAGATAGACCTGGTTCGGTTCCGCTAGGGGCGCATAGCTCGGATGCAGTTTGTCCCCAACCCTGGTTGGGTTGTGTGGGTGGCAGCCACTCATGTCCCTTTCACATGGATGTTTCTCTCTCTCTCTCCCTCCCACTCTATCTGAACAAAAAATGGAAAAATGTCATCAGGTGAGGATTTAAAAAAAAAAAAGTAAGAACAGATTTCTATTCTGGAGCTGAGGGGAGAGTGTTTTGTTATGTCTCTAACTTCAAACAGCCCAACACTGCTGCCTCCTCCAGAAGCCAACTGGGCACCTACTTGGGGCGCCCTAGTGGGAACTAGCTGGGGTGGGGGGGGTGAGTTTGGAAGGGGCGTGGGGCTGGAATTAACATAGCCTGCTCGACACTGGGGTAATTTGGGAGGCCCTCCAGGCTAGAAGCAGCCCTGTAGGTCTGGTGCCTTCTCCCCCAGCCTGGTTCTACCCCAGAGCCGCGGCCCCGATTGTGTCGGAAGCAGTGATGCTGCCCGGAGCAGGCCTTCCTCACCTGAGCTTCCTGCCTCTCGGTTCGGTCGGCTTCACTGGGTTCACGGTCTCCATCGTCCCGACGCGGAGGCCAAGCCGACAAGCCCCAGGCCGCTCTGGACCGATCTGCACTCCGCAGCAGGTCCCGGCCAGCCCAGGCTCTGCGGATTGTTTTCCTTCCGGATTCTGGCCTACGCCTCGGCTCCCGTAGGAGGCGGGGCTTGAGCGCACGAAGGACTCTGGGTGGTGGGGTTCGGGGGAAGAGGCGGTACTCTCAACAAGCGCGAAAAGGTGAAAGGCTGAGAGGAAAGGAGCGTAGGGGGAACCCCGGAATGAGAGGCGTGTCCTAGTGTCATCAGAACCCGACGTCACACTACCCCGCCCGGCGGACGGGGTGCGGCTGCCGACACCGACGCCAAAGGCGCCGCTATTCGCTCCGACAGTTCCCACGGCTCCCAGAGTGCCCCGCGTGAGGTCGGCCGAGAGGGGCCGTCTTCCGGCGGAAGCGGTCGCTACGCCCGCGCGGATGTCTTCGGCTCTGGTAGGTTTTACTGGTACGGAATTTGAGGTCTGTTTTAACTTCTGCGTTGCCTACCCCACCAACCCCAACTTTCCAACGTAAGAGCGAAGGGGTAGGGGTCCGTCCAGCCATTTGCCCCGCCTGTAATCCAGTTTCTTTCCCCTACCCAACTACTCCAGGTAATCTCAGGTTGGTTACTGGGCTGGTCCACTCTTAGTTCTTCTCTACGCCCAGTTCAAAGTGTTTTCATTTTTCGCTCTTCAGACTCATTAGAGTATCTATTACACATTGGACATTTGGGGTTCTTGGACTCGTAGAAAATTAGCCATGAACGAATGAAAAATAAGTCACTGCCCCTATTTTACGACCAAACGAGAAATGATTTACTTTGCCGAAGATTAACTATTTCTTTCAAATCACTGGTTCTTAATATTTTGGGGGGTGAGGGGTGGGGAGGGCAGTGTATGGGATTCCTATCCAGAAAAATTCAGTTTTACAAACAAGCTTCATTAAATTCACAGACTCGGAGGCAAAGTTAAGAACTACTTTAAATGTATATTTGCTTAGTAGGATGGGAAAAAGAGGGAGACAAAGAGCGGAAATAAAAGCAAAAAGCAGATATACTGCCAGTAGGAAATGGCCAAATTACCTTCATATATGCGATGTTTGCATAAGTAAATTGACAAGGGGATATTTTATTTTATTAAAACATTTTTTTTCTTTATTGATTTTTAGAGATAGGAAGGGACAGGGAGAAATAGAAACATCGATGAGAGAACACTGCTTGCATACCCGCCACTGGGGATTTGGCCCACAATGTGGGCATGTGCCCTGACTGGAAATCGAACCAGGGACCACTTGGTGCATGAGTCAATGCTCAACCACTGAGCCACACCTGCCAGGGGACAAGGGGATGTTTTAAGTTACTGAAGTACACCTGCAAAAATTTTCTGAGATTTTTTTTTTTTTATCTTCACCAAGGATATTTTTCCTTTTTTTTTTTTTTTTTCAGATAGTGTGGGAGGGAGAGAGAGAGAGAAACATCGATGTGAAAGGGACACATCGAGTGGCCGCCACCCGCATGACCCAACCAGGGCCGGGGACAAACTGCAACCAAGGTATGTGCCCTTAGTCGGAACCGAACCCGGGTCTCTCCACACCACAGGCCGACACTCTAACCACTGAGCTAAACCGGCCATGGCTTCTGAGATATCTTGTACATTTCCTAATCCTTCCCTAGGAAAATGGAGGACATCAGCAAGAGTTTGAAGATATGTAAGTTGTCAAATGGACATAAGGACATCAATAAGTTTGACTCCGTGAAGCTCTGTCCAGGATTTTATTAGATTGCTTTTTTCCCCAATATACCTGTATTGGAAGATTGAGACAAAAAGGCACAAACTCACATTAAATAAGGTAATCTAATCAAGTCTACAAAGTGTATTTTGTAAAAGAAGTAGCACTAGGAACCAACCAAAATAAGACCGGGAGTCCCAGCAGGGACTGTAAGAGAACTTGGGAAGATACACGCTTGCCCACAATACTGATCTGTCCCTGACCTCTCTCTTTGAGAAGGCCAGAGCCCAGCACCCCTCCTACAGAGGCACTGCTGCTTCCAGCTGGGACTGTGACCCTGGAAATCTAATGGAAGCAGCTATCTGAAGGAGCATGGCACATCCTCAGGTACTACCCTGGAGCTGAGCCTTTCATCATAAGCCCCTCTGAGTGCTAGCCAGATTTGGGTGGTGGTGGGGGGAATGTGAAGAAGGAAGGGATACTTAAAAGAAAACTACACTGTTGCCGAGCAGCAACAATATCCCAAGGGATGGACTAGACCAGGGAAATCCCTCCTTATGTTTATGTGGGCTAGAGCCCCAGATCCAACTGACTCCAGGAAATTCTAGCTCAGCTCATACTGGGGCAACAGGTGAAGGTGGGAGGAGCCAGAAAAAAGGCAGATAAAGAGCAAACCCCCCACCAGAGCTGGAGTGATATGTGTGAATTTCAAAGAAGAGCTGAAGGAAGGAGAATAACATCTGACCCTCAAACCACTTAAAACAACTGTCTGCTTAGAATGTTGCCAGTTGTTTCTCCCAGGATAATCCACATAGACTTCACTTAGTTGAATGAAGAAGGGAAAGCATTAAGCAGAAATATAGTTATAGCTAATACAAAGCTTGTAGGAAAACATTTACATTTTTCTCCAGTAGGAACGCCTTTTCAACTTTTCCAGTCAAATAAATGCTAGTAGCAGTTGGGATGTTAATAACTGAACTGCACACCAGATCCATTGCTACTCTAGACCCCACAAAGTGAGGAGACTAAAAGGAAGGTGTAACAGGATATCTCCTGGTCCCAAAGGGGCCTCAATGAAGATTGGAGCTGACCATGCTGAGGGGTCTGAGTCTGTCCACCCTTGCCCCAAGGAGGGCCACAGGGAAGCATCCTTCAGGATGTCACAGGTGCAATCCTGTGAGAGACTCCCTTATTGCACTTAGAAATAAGGCAAACAAACTGACAGAAACATGAGGATAAATTTTCCTGTCCTATTCGCTCCCCTAACAGAGATTTGGTTTCTCTCATTAGCAGCTGCGCCCAGGCTAGCATGGGCTTGGATCACTGTACACACTTGGCCAACATTATTACTTCACAAGGTTTGGGAAGTGTTAGGTGACACCACAATTATCTCAGATTCTCCCATGGGGAAGGCATACCCAGGTTCTGCCAAGTTGTAGGAAAGTGTGAAGCACTCAGCAGCTTTTATTCCCCCTGGAGCCTGGACTCTTACCAGCCTACTTTGGTAGAGTTCTGTACCATGGTCACTACTTGCTTTTGATTGTCCAGGACAGAACTCAGCTTAGGGGCAGGACAAACTGAGTTCTTGATTCCCAAATACTTTCCAGCAACTGGAGACAAGAGGGAACATGTTCTGGGAGGAAGCTTTTTGCATGCTCGTTTTATGCAGCATGAAAAGATCAGGACTCTTGTGTCCTGACCAGCCTCAAAGACAGAGGACAAGAATCTAAGAAAGCAGAGAAAATAGGATTATTGCTGAATGACAGCACCAGCCCAAATGGGAAGAGGAGCATGGACATACAGAGCTCCTCAGGGGGCAGACTAATTAGTATATATAGGGCAGTCTCAGTTCTAAGGGCCACAGTGGATAGGCCTCTCCAGGTAGAGAGCTGACCCTGGCATATCATGGACTCTGCAGAGACACAGACAGAGTGGGCAACAGGAGAGCTGAGAAGCCATAGGTATTTCTAAGACTAGTGACCAGAGATGCAATGCCTGGGGCAGGAGTTATTTGTATTTGTTAAATTTTCAAAACGGAGACTGGCTGGGCCTTGGGTATTTCTTTGGTGCTTAGAGCACTCTAACAATGGGTTACTGGGAGCAGAGGTCAGAGTTATGAAGCCACATTGCTGTTCTGTGGAACCGGGGAAAAAAACTATATTTCTAACTCATCCACTCTCCCCAGGTGAGCACTCAAAATCGCAGATGCTCAGGAGCAAAATACCTGTTTATCCCAAGGCTGAAAACAAACAAACTTAAATCATTTAAATCACCACATCACAAAAGGCAGCTATTTTGAAAGACTAAAAATGTCACTTGAAAATAAAGGGGGGGCACACAGAAATGGGTTGAGAACACAATGGCTGGAGGGGGAGGAGCTGTAAATACAGAAGCCTATATGCCACATATCTCAGAGGAGCAGGCTCCTGCACACACGGGCTTCATAATACCAGAGGGTCTATTTGTTCACAATATTAAAGAGCATCTAGAATCAGCTACATTAAGGGATCAAAAGTTGCCTGAAGAATGGGCACAGAAAGGCTGCGTCCGAAGATGGCCTGTCACTCAGGAGGGTGGAGCTGCTGGGCCTTCCTGTTGACCACTGTCTTGCAAAACTAGAAGAGAAATAAAATCATTAAGGAAGCAACAGAGGAAAACAGAAACACTGTAAATCATTGATTGGGGAATTTCAAAAGGAAGAAGGATGCTAGCTGGTGTGGGGTGGTTTAGGGGGAGTGATGAAAAGAAGGTTCAAGCAATTACTAAGAAGCTGGCATTGCAACAGTCCACTTAATCTCGCCCTTTCTCAAGCACATGATGCAGTGAGAGTGAGCAGAGCTTTGCATCACTGCTGGTCAGACCCCTTCCTTAGCTAGCGCCTTAGTGCTAGGGGACAGCCAGTTTTTATTTGATAAAATAATCTCTCAGAGCCTGATGGGGAGCAAGGCCAGGTTTTTTATTACAATGACTAAGCCCACTCTGAGCTGGTGGAAAAACAGCCGGTTGGGAGGTGTGCACACCACTGGGAGCAATTAGAAGGAAGGAAACTAGGGAAGAGTGAGTATGAAAACAAGGGACATCCCATTCTGGTCCTATGGCCTGGGCAGAAATACCCTCCAAGATTCTGAAAGATGCTGCCTCAGATGAGAATAGCTACTTAGTATGGGATCAGAGGGTATAAACAGGAAGAAAGTCAAGTACCAGGCACAACAATGAACGCACACCACTAGACTTTAGGCGTAGGGCGGGTATAGAGAGTGCCCTAGAATGCCAGCTTCAACTTGAAATGGCTCTAGTTAGGAAAGGAAGAGTAATTAGTTGCAGATAAGCTTCAATTCCGTGTCCACTGCCCCCAGCCCACCATATCTCACCATGTCTCTGGTGAGTTCGTTGTAAAATTATATGTCCCTGAAATGTCCTCACAGTCATAATTTCTTTCAGTGGAAGCCCAAGAGCGTGACAAGCCTGTTGAGCATGGCAGTCATTATTCCTAGAGGGCGGGGTGAGGAATGAGGCCAGTTTGCTGACTCCATAGTGAGCTGCTGAGGCTGTGAGGACCCAAACTTTTAGCACCTATGACATACACAGTGAGAAACTGGGTACATACAGTGCAGAAGGGGGAGGGGTGGCTTTAGTCATCTGCTGTCATTCCTTTCACTGGGTCCTTTTGTCTCATCTGAAACAGAAAAAGCAGAAAAAATTGAAGGCTCTTGCTGCTGACGGAACTCCACCACAGATACAGTCGGCCCTCGTTTATCGGGGTTAATCCATTCCAGACTCTAGTGTTGCACCTGGCGTTGAAGGATTCCTGGGGAGCTCGAATACATAGGCCTACAGTCCATACGTACAGTAATTTTAATTTTAATTGTAATATAGGGTGTACAATTGACTCAGACAACTGAGCGCGCGCTGTATCATTTTCACTGTCTCAATCAACTTTTTAATGACTGTATTTGAAAAAACCGCGATAGAGTGAAGCTGCAAAAGTTGAAGCGTGAAGTGGTGAGGAACGACTATACATCCTGCCTTCACAATCCTGCCAATAGATAGGCTGGAGCATATTTATTTATTTATTTATTTATTTATTTATTTTTCCTTTATTGATTTTTAGAGAGAGAGGAAGAAGGAGAGAGAAATAGAAAGATCGATGAGAGAGAACACTGGCCGCCTCCTGCATGCCCCCCACTGGGAATTTGGCCCACAGCCTGGGCATGTGCCCTGACTGGGAATCGAATCGGTGACCTCTTGGTGCATGGGTTGACGCTCAACCACTGAGCCACACCAGCTGGGATTAATATATATTTTTATTGATTTGAGAGAGAGAAACATCGATTGGTTGTCTCCTGCACGCACCTGGACCAGGGATCAAACCCACTAAACTTGGGCACGTGCCCTGACTGGGAACTGAACCAGTAACCTCTCAGTGCATGGGACGATCGATAACCAATTGAGCCACACTGGTCAGTGCTCATTCAACAAATTCTGAGCACATAAGAGCATGACCTCTGGAATCAAACTGCCTGGATTGTATTCTGGCTCCATCACTAATTGTGTGAATTTATGCACATTACTTCACTGCTCTCTAAGCCTCAATTTCTGTAACAATAAAGGAGAGATAATAATAGCACATATGGCATGAACTGTGGTAAAGATTACATAAAGACACTCACATAGAGTACTCAGCATAGCAGAGGGCTTGGCATGGAGTACACACTCAATACCTGTTATCTATGTTGTTATTTCTTTGTTCTAAACGCTGTCCTGCAGCATATGTATGTACACAAGCTCTGAAGAATCTGGACTTTTAAGCTATAGCCCTCCTCAGAATTATGTTCTATTTACTAAAATTTTAACATCGGCACATTTGGCAGAGATTCTATCTCAGTAGTGATAGTTCTCCACTGGGAAACATTCTCAAAGTACACTTCCTGCCACATTTCAAACATGTTTCGTGTTTCATGTTCACGCACACACCCAGTAAGTCCATGTGGAACATGGACATGGTAAAAAAAAAAATTCTTGTCCTATCCAGTGTAGGCCAGAATTTCCTCAAACACGATCAAAATAATTGTCTGGGGTACTTATGGTAGATTCTTGGGTCCCAGACCTGATGAATCAGAACCTACAGGAGATGGACCATAAGTGAGTCATAAAATAAATCTGACAAGCCTCACCTTCCATAGCCCCCAGCAAAGATCCTCTGCTCCGAACAGGAAAGTCTATTTTCAGACACTTACTAGTCCCATACCTTTCAGTAGGCTCTTAGCTCCACCTGGAAAGCCTGTCTCCTGTAGATTTTGCTCAAAACTCGCTTTCCTGAATGATATCTTTAAATCATTAGTGCTCCTCTAACTTTAGTTGTCCATATTAATTAATACCTGTTACTATATTACTTCCTAAGGGTTCGACAAATTCCAACATGACAGAAATCTGTTAAGGATAAGGGCACTGTCATTTAAAAACAAAAACGTAACCCTATGGTGTTAGGTAGGAATTGAGGGTATTCTGTATGAACATGATATGTAAGGTAGATATAGAAATAAATAAAAATGTAAAAGTTCCCTAGTCATATGACAGGCCTGGCAGCAGCAACACTCCAACAGTAATCAGCACACCTAGCAGCCAAACAGCCCCCTCCACTAAAAGGAACCAAGGCTCCCTGGATGTGGCCAATTCTAGGACTGAGTCATAAGAACAAGATCAGCTCGGGACACCCTGTTTTGCTTTACATGAACAGAGGTAAGTAACCTCGCCAGTAACTAGATAGAAAAACAGAATACAATGAAAAGAACACTGAATCTTTAACATTCTGGCCTAAAATCTATAAACTGGATCTAATCATACAGAATCACTAGATAAATCCAAATTGAGAGGCATTCTACAAAATTACTAGCCTATAACCCTAAAAAATGTGAAGGTCATGAAGTCCAGGAAAAACTGAGGAATATCACCAGAGTGAAAGAGACTAGAAGGTTGCAGTGTATGATACTGGGCCGTAGCCTTTGCTTTAAAGGGATGGAATCTCTGGGTTAAGGGGTATTCTATTCTTGCCATTTTCTTTAAGTTTAAAATTATTTAAAATTTTTAAAAAAGACAAAAACATGCTTATTAAATGTCAGTTCACTAATGACCATTCACATAAATTTTCAATAAGAGAGATAAGTAATTTAATATGGGAGCAAAGTTCCTTGGGCTTCAGTCAGATCCCTATATACCCTGACAGTTCATTGCTAATGCAAAGCCAGTCCTGTTTTCCTACTGCTGGAAAAAAGATGCAACTTCCTATCAGGGAACCTGACTGCTTCCCCTACTCGTAGAGACAAGGTGCCCCCCAGAATGTCACTGAAATAAAAATACATTATTTCATTCTTATAATGAAATGCTCTAAGAATGGTTATTTCCTGTTTTCTTGGGGCCTAAGTGACATGAGAGATTTTATTTGAAGTTTGTAGTGTTCCTTGCGTCAAGCCACTGCAGGATGGATATATACATATAAATGGAACATGAAAGTAGAAACTCCTAGTTTTGTTTTTTCCCCACAGTGGTTTCCTCTAGGAATGAGGCCAGGGATTAGAGGAAAGGGATTTTCATGTATCTAATGGACTTGTATTTTTAAATATTTTCTTTATTTTTCTGAAAACTGCTTTACCATTAAGTATGAAACACTTCTGACTTAAAAAATTAGTAAAGATAGCAATGTCAATATCCTGGTTGTGATACTGCACTATAGTTTTGCAAGATATTGCCATTGGAAGAAACAGATCTCTCTATTATTTCTTATAACTGCATGTGAGTATTACATTCATCTCAAAATAAAAAGTTGAGTTAAAAGAAAACAAAGCTAGTTAAAAAAAATCATTTTAAGCCCTGGCCAGTTTGGTTCAGCGGTTAGAGCATTGGCCTGCGGTCCAGAGAGACCTGGGTTCGGTTCCCACTAAGGGCACGTACCTTGGTTGCAGTCTGTCCCCGGCCTTGGTTGGGTCGTGCAGGTGGCAGCCACTCAATGTGTACCTTTCACATTGATGTTTCTCTCTCTTCCTCTCTCCCCCTTCCACTCTATCTGAACAAAAAAATGGGAAAATGTCCTCGGGTGAGGGTGTGTGTGTGTGTGTGTGTGTGTATGTGTGTGTGTGTGTGTGTATGTATATATGTATGTATAAATAAATAAATAAATAAATAAATAAATAAATAAATAAATAAATAAGAAATACAATCTTAGCCTGGTTGGTGTGGCTCAGTGGTTGAGCGTCGACCCATGAACCAAGAAGTCACCAGTTTGATTCCCGGTCAGGGCACATGCCCAGGTTGTGGGCCCAATCCCCAGTGGGGGGCATGCAGGAGGTAGCCAAACGATGTTCTCTCTCATCGATGTTTCTATCTCTCTCTTCTTCCTTCCTCTCTCTCTAAAATCAATAAAGGAAAAACAAAATTAAAAAATCATTTTAAGACACTGAAAAGTAACCATAAGCCAATTAACATTCCCAAAGGAATACAAATATGAGGTTCATGTGGAATTGTTTTTAGAACCTGTTTAGAAAGCCTATCTATAAATAGGTTCAGCCCTTGGGAAAGCAATTTGGCAATAAATAGCAAGAGTCTTAAATTCTCTAATTCTATCTGTAGGAATTTATTCTGAGGAAATAATCCTAATTACCAAAACAAAACAAAAAACAGTGCACAAAAATTTTCTTCACAGCATTATTCACAACAGTGAGAACCTGGAAACAACATGAAGGAAAATTCAACATAGTGTAAATGACAGAGTACAGAGCAACATATATGTATATTGCAGTCAGATGTAGTGAAGAAGTTTTTGGTGGGAAAATGCTTCATTTTAATGTTCAGAGAAAAAGGTAAGATAACCACCTGGCAGATGTAATACAATAATAACTAAATAAGTGTAAAGAAATCCCTAGCCATGCCCAGACAGTGAAGCTCAGTGGATTGAGCACAGGCCCATGGACTGAAAGGTCCCAATTCAATTCTGGGGCAGGGTACATGCCCGGGGTTTCAGGCCCATCCCTAGTAGGGGGTGTGCAGGAGGCAGCGATCAATGTTTCTCTCTCACATCAATGTTTCTCTTCCCTTCCACCCTCTCTAAAAAAAAAAAATCAATAAAACATAGTCTGGCCAGTGTGGCTCAGTGGTTGAGCATCGACCCATGTACCAAGAAGCTGCAGGTTCGATTTCCGGTCAGGGCACATGCCCAGGTAGTGGACACAATCCCCAGTGGGGGGCATGCAGGAGGCAGCCAATCAATGTTTCCCTCTAGACTCTCTCTCTCTCTCTTTCCCTTCCTCTCTAAAATCAATAAAGAAAAAACCCAAAACATTAAAAAGAAAGAAAGAGAGAGAGAGAGAGAGAGAGAGAGAGAGAGAGAGAGAGAGAAAGAAAGAAAGAAAGAAAGAAAGAAGCCCCTGACTGAGTAGCTCGGCTAGAGCATTGTCCTGATATGCCAAGGTTGTGGGTTCAATCCTCAGTCAGGACACATACAAGAACCAACCAATGAATACATAAATAAGTGGGACAAGAAATCAGTTTCTCTCTCGAGTCAATTATTTTTTTATTTTTATTTTTTATCCTCACCCAAGGACATTTTTCCATTTTTTGTTCAGATAGAGCGGGAGGGAGAGAGAGGAACAGAGAGAAAGAGAAACATCGATGTGAAAGGGACACATCAAGTGGCTGCCACCCGCACGACCAACCAGGGCTGGGGACAAACTGCAACCGAGGTACATGCCCTTAGCGGGAACCAAACCCGGGTCTCTCTGTACCGCAGGCCGACGCTCCAACTGCTGAGCCAAACCGGCCAGGGCTCGAGTCAATTATTTTTTAA